ACTCATGGAGAACGTGGCCCATAACAACTCCGTCAATGGGCCCTTCCAGTTCAAACAGATGCTCCCACTCCAATGGTTAGCGCTGTGGCTTGCTTCCTCTGTCTGCTGTTTTACACGCATCCTGGTCGAGTGCAGGCTCTGTGACCAGGTGGTTTATAATTAGGAGCGTGGCACGTAGACCCAGGCTGTATGAACTGAGCTCCAAACTGTCGCCTCCACCCCCTTTAGGTGTTTAAACTCCTGGTCAAGTTTAGGCTGTGACAGATGGGGTACGATGGAGTCTGTATGTGACACAGTGACCCAAACTGTATGATCTGGGATCCGTGCCGTAGCTTCCATGCTTTTGCTGCTGGGATGCAACAACGGTCAGGTATTTTTGTTGACCAAGGAGCCTGTTGTCATGCCTAAGGGCATGCTCACGCCACATCCACCATCTGCACCTGATCCCGCCGCGATCAGAGCACGGCAGGCTATGACAATTTGTCGGTGTGTGTGTGTTTGCTGGCGGTGGAGGAGCGAGTGAAGTCAACCCTCGGCGGTTTCGTCTCCTTACAAAAATGAATCTACTGCGCTTGAAACTATCGCGGTGCGCTAAAAGCCGCGGCTTGGAGAGTTCCCAGCTGGCGGGGTAATTCGGACACCGCAGTCGGTCCAGTGTGTCTTGTTGTGTGTAGTGGCTGTCCGCGAGCTGAGGGTCAACTTTAATGGCTCCTTCTCAACGTGGCCTTTATGGTGCACCCTGTCGAGAACCTACCTGATGAGACGTGCTGTTTGGTACGCACGTTAAGTGTTGGTCGCGCCAGCCGTCTGCGCCCTCCCGCATCTTTGGTCTTCTTGACTCTGTCCTGATAACCGGGTCCCGATGTGGGAGTGGTTAGAGAATGAAGTAGAATGAGAGAGAATATTCGCATTCCAGGTATGTCTATTAGAATGAAGTAGAATGAAGTAGATTCTCAACGAGTCTACTTTCGCTGTTAATCTCGCGGAAATCACCGCGTTGGTTCAACTCGTTGAAGCTCGTAGTGAATATCGTCGAAATCGACGGTCATACTGTCGTATGTACTATGCGTCCGATTCCGCCCTCGGTCTTCTTGGCTCTGTCTTGACACCGTACACAGGTTGGTGAGGGAAAAGAGAGAGAGAGAGTGCGATAACTGAAGCGGAACTCTATTATCACTTTAAACTAACTCATGCGCAATTCACCGAATTTGCCGTCAAATTCGACGGTCGAAATGTGGCTTTACACGCGGTATTGAGGGTATTTTTTCTGCAGTTTCGATACGCGTCGATTATTTGCATCCTTTCCCCAGTAATGTATTATGCTGCGCAACCGGTCCTAACGATGAATGACTGCGTACTCTTCGGCGACTAACTCCGGAGGAATGAGCAGCGTTCGTGGTATGTTCAGGCATGTTCGCAACTCAAGAAACTCCTGTAGCATAAAATGAAAAATCTCCATATGTGGGACTTGGATTCTGGCATGCCATTAAGTGAAATGGGAGGAAGGAATCCTGAAAGTCGAGCAAATTTTGCAGACGGAATAACACGAGCAAGTCCGCAAAACTGATTTGTGCAGAACATACTCTTATGTCCCTTCCTGTTTGTTGGCGTTATTCTGGCTTTTTACCGAGCACCTTTTGCCTCAGCCATTAAAGTTGCAATCGAATAACTAAGCATCTAGGTAATATATATTGCCATTATTTTCTGCGTCTGTATAAAAGCTAAATTTTATTCTCCCATCCGTTTTATTGGAAACTAGGTGTTATTGTGTGACGTTTAGAAATAACAGTTATTATAGAAAATTGAAAATTGTCCTTACTGAGTAAGCCTAAGTTTTAAATATAAATAAAGTATGTTTATGCAAAAAACAGTAAATAAATCAGCACAAGTAGAATTACGTTTGAAAATAACCCTTTAATAAAATTTTCGGCTA